GGACTTCCTTTAAATAGACACCAGAGAAGTAGCCGTTGGACTACTGTCGTTCAAATGATTTCAGCAAAGGAAACTTTGAGAATTCTCCGATATGCTCCCCCTTGATTGCAGCTCTGATTTCCTGTAATTTCTCCAAGAATGACTAAGCAATATCGTGACTTGTTTTGATTGAAACCATTCAATTCAACAAGTGAAACCCTAATAACTGAACATATTTCATGTGACATAGTAACTTATCGAAGCGACAGTGGATTAAATAAGGTACTATGCGGATTAGATGCTAGCTTATTCAGCCATGAAAACCAAGAACCAGTGGCCTGATGTTCCTCCAACTCTATATCATTAATCCAATCATTGAAAAACACCATAGCTACATCAACGCTGGGGGAGTTTTAAGCCTCAGAGTGATTTCTTATATCATTGAAATCCCACATCACTATCCAGGGAGCAACAATTACTCTAATTCTCCTCAATTCATTGTAAAGAAACTGACTGGGTGCCTCATCATTTTTTGCATATACTACTGTGCCAAAGAAAGGCTGAGTACCCCCCACCATAAACTGAACAAACTGGTCAGAGGAGTGCAGAACAGTAAGTTGAATATCCTTCTTCCAGATTAACCAAATTTTACCCAAACCAGATGCATTGTGTTTTATCTTAGCCTCCCAATTGGAAAACGCTTCTCAACCAACTTTTCTGTCTCAGAGGCTCTTATTATAGGCTCAAGAACAACTACAATATCTATACTATATTTGTTTATTTTCTTTAGTAAAGCTGTATATTTAATATATGCTTTAAATCCTCAAGTATTCCAGGTAGTAATCCTCATCTTCAACCTTTCCCCCCTTTCTTTGGTTGGTGCGGGATCAAAGGAGAGTCCACCCAAATCTTCTTTCCTTTGTCTGGAGGTTTCATATTCTCCTTACCCTTAACATTTTCAACTCTATCTCCCTAAGATAGTAGAGAATGCAAGCTCCCGGAATCTGGTGACTTCTCATTCTCAACCAACTTCCCAGTAGTAACAAGACTCCCACCTAAAGGTGATGCTCCTCTAACTATTTGAGCAAAACTCAAAGGAGGACTCCCAATTGGTGAAGAAGTCTGCTTAGGAGTTATACCCACGGCTACAGGAGGCACAGGGTCAGCCCCAGCAACACTCTCCAAACCTTCAACCTCATTTACATTTAGTGTACCCTCAATCTGAAGTGTCGAATCTCCCACAGGAGCATCACATCCATTCTCCACAGTCTCAGCATTCAAGAGTTTCTTAGGCTAAGATATAGTCTCTTCAGATAACTATGGATCAACCTTCTCTTTCACTCTCCATTGTCTAAGAGGTTCCTGAAAACAACTATGTCCAAACAAACAACATTTTGAACAGACTCTAGGAAGCTGCAATATTCAACCTCAATTTCAAAATCAGGATCATTGTCTGGGTACAAACGAATTGGGCCTGGGAGATCATAGTCTGCTGCCAATTCAATGCAAACCTTTGAAAACCCCAACTGATCACAAAACCTAGTTTTTTAATCATTCCAGAGAGGCCTCCCAATAGTACTAGCAACCCACTCAATACCATCCTGACCCAAATACTCCAGAGGCAACCCCCAGATTTTAACCCAGATCGGCAATGTCTCTACCTTCAGCTTAATCGGCTGAATACCCACCTCCCACTTTCTAAAGAAAATCGAGTTACCCCCAAAATGCCAAGGTCCCTATTTAAACACCCAATCACAAGAAGAAATAGATGGGAATTGAAATACCAGTAGCTTAGGACCAAATTGTGACACACGAACCAAACCATCTCTCCCCCAAAGTCGATTAGCCCAAGATTGGAGCTCCGCAACCTTTGGACGCTTCCCGACGAATTGACCAATCAAGGACATCTTCCATCGCTCAGTGCCCTTCTCCTTTACCGCCTGAGGAATTCAAAATCCATCCTTAACCTTCTTGGGAGGACGATACGTAAGACGTTTCTCAGGAGCCACTGAGAAAAGCTGGGCCCAGGAAGACGAAGAACCCTCACCAGCCGGCGAAGTAGCCGACGACGAGGCGGCCATCACAAAGGGTTTCCTACAGAGCACGAAAAAGGAGAGAGAAAAGAAGAGAGACAGTTTAAGCCAAACACTCAACTGTTTTTTTGAAAAGTACTTCTCTAAAAGCTCAAGCCAGAAGCTGCTTCTGCAAAAGTTAAAGCAGGGCCAAACTGAGCGTATATTGATTTGGAAACCGAGTCCAGTCCACCTTCCAACCCAATTAAAGTTGAGGGATTTGGACTGGCGTCACTAAAAACTGTTTCAAGGTCATTGGATTAGTCATTTGCTTTTACATTTATTTCTAAATTTTTTTTAATTGCATTAGTGGTCACTATTTTTCATTTTTGTTTGACTATAGGTCAGTGGTCACTCTTTGTCCAACTCTATTATCTTTATACTATGTGATAATCAACTCTCATGTTTGACCGTTAAACTAGTCACTAGTAAATTGAAAAATAAGAAAATAAGAAAAAAATTTAGTTAATTTTAATTTTTCAAATCACAAATAGAATAACTAAAAGATCATAAAGAATATATTTATTTTTTAAAATTTTCCTCCCATTGCAGACTTTGACAAAAATGGGTGTAGATTATAATCGAGAAAATTGTGTTTGATTTTAAGAGTCATCAATATTGGCAATAAGAAGGTGATCTATCGCCTGAGTTTGTGAAGGAGAAAATAACTAAGTTTGAGCTTGGCCAAACAACAAAAGTTATTTTCGGAATTAATGGCATGGTGAAGACTTACTTGTTGTGCTAGGTGTTGAGGTAACCACCACCATCATGTCACTTTGTAAGATGATGAAGGATAACCTTAAGATGATGGTGGAGAACATCCGAGTGATGAGGATAATCACATGACTTTAGAGAGGTGTTTGGTTAGGTTTGGTGAAAGTTCACGATGAACTACCTTCCATATTATTTCTTTGAATGAGAGTCGTGATTGGCTTAGTTCTTGCAGTGATAGAGGATTAGATGGTATGTTTGTTGTAGTAAACAAGGCTTACGAACATTTTGATGAGTTGAATTTTTTTTGAAACCAGTGGTGCAATCAAATGATTTTCCAAATTATGGAATATATCCAACTCCCAACAATGCTACTGGAAGTGAAAACTTCATTTTAGTAGTGGTTGAGGTGCCCAGCCATGACAGAGGAACATGCAACCTCCGACAACTAACCAACCACACCCTTAACATGAGAGCTATGGCGATAATTTCACACTCACATCGGGCAACCACTTGTGAAGAGAGTTATTCGAGAAAATGTTAGAGGCTAGGCCAAGCATCACACATCTTAAAATGAGGGTTGGTGAAGGTCCACTTAATTTATATTAGGTACTATCATGAGCTCGTCCAACCCGAATCTCATCCATGGCAAGTAGGCGTAGTGGATGTGAATCATCAGGGGGAGGGAAGTATACAAGTTGGGAGCAAAAACATACAATCCAGTGGCATGTTGATATCATAAAAATGAACAAAGGGGTGTGTCAAAGAAGAGGCAACAAGAGGAGCAAGTCTAAGGAGCCATATAAACACTATGTAACATATTTTTGTTGTAAGCATGCTAACACGGCTAATAGTGAACAAGGGGCATGTCACCAAACTTGAGCCATATCAACACTATGTAACATATTTTTGTTATAAGCATGCTAACGCGGCTAATAGTGAACAAGGGGCATGTCACCAAACTTTAATAATATATAGGGAGGAATGTCTAGGAGTATGCAATGAACCCATACCACCCATAGTTTTCAAAATCATAAGAGTATCGCAAATAATGCATAGGAGGGCTCGTCCATATCCATGAGTAGTGTGTACATGTCACCAACAATGAAGGGTCAATAAGGTAACATGCACAAGAAGTCCAAATAGATCAACCAAACTTTGTAACATAGGGGGGCCAAGAATGCATATGTTAGGTACATGAGTCAACAAGATCTAACTAATGAAAAATAGAGTCAAGCTAGCCACAAGGATAACAATCCACCTATTAAGCTCAAGCCCAAACACCCATATTTTCAACAATATAAGAAGGATAAACATGTGTCAAGCTGGGGCCAACGAAGGTAGGGAAAACTCATGGTCCCCTTAATGGGCCGAAGGACTTGAGAATGCCAAGTGAACTTCATAGAGGAAGGTATACTCGTTGCGATCAATATAAACAACACAACATGTCATGTACGATAGCCTTGACAGAGGATCATGAGCCCTTTGTAATTCAACCAAGACATGATGTATGGACTAAGTAACCATCTGTGGTTAAGCTGAACTTTTCAAAAGCAACATGTGAAGTTTCGTCTCCTATGAAGCAAGAGAATCATGCAGTGTATGATGAATTGTCTGCTTTAATTCATAGATTTGACAGTGAGTGTATATCTATTGCACGTAGGTGATTTTCAAAGGCTATGAAGAGTAGAAACTTTCATCACTCATTGTCGTATCAAATAAAAAATTAAAAAATAATGAAGTAAAAAAAAGCCAATCATGCCTAATAAAGAAGACGCAAAGATGATAAGCTTCAATTAGAGTTGTTAGACTTTGTTGTGAGGACCTCACAATGGTGTGAGTAAACATGGGTAATTCCTTCAGTCGAGTTTAAAATTTGCAATGTTAATTTGGGTTAATAGTGTAGCTGGTTGAAACCTTGGAGCTTCTTACATTTTGTTGATGTGTTTGGTACGTCATGCCACTTACATGACATAAGATGTGGATGAGTATGTAGCATGGACCGGCCGTCCGTGCCACCCACTACACTGGAGCATATGTGTTAAAAAAATCGGAAGATCATTTGAAATATGTCAATAGCTTGAGCATTATTTTTCTTTCACTTTTGGATGCGAGTTGTTAGCAACATGATTGCCATTATTATGCTAGCCATCATGGTGGTTAGATGTGTTAAGTTGTCTCACTATAAGGCATGGCATGCTACTCTTCTTGATGAACATGGTTCGCATGGCTAGGGGGTTGTCGGCAGACATGACAACGCTAACCAAATACATGTATATCATTAGAGACTAAATGTTAATATCTTCATCCAAAAAAATTATTTAGAGGCATCTGTATTTTGGTAGATATACATATATACCCCCATAATATTATCCCCTTACAACTTCACACCCACGATTTTTCCTTTTTAACAACATGGTGTTGGCATTGCCGGCTTGACTCTCGCCGGAGGATAATCGTCAGTGATGTCTATCTTTAGCATTCTTTCCACAACAACCTTCCTCCCTCCTGTTCCAAAAACGAGCCACAAGATGATTATCACTATAAATAATTCATACAAAGGACCATACCATCTCTTCCCATATATAATTCAGTTATATATGTTGTTGTTCGAGGTTGAAAATCAAATCTTGTATCATTCTTTCACACACACATGCATGTTCCTGTACCGAAACCTCCTTAACTAAAGGTTTTGCTGTGAAAATCATTGTAGTTTGAATGCAACCTCACGTTAGATAGACTTGAAATATGATCTTGTACCATTCTTTAACAAAAACCGTTAGTAGAAACTTAACTGTCAAGAACCAGTTGATCCCAATCAACTGATTCATGACATGGTATCAGAGCTGGTTTGTCCTTCAAGTCACGTGTTCAAGCTCTCACGACCCTCAATATTAACCGTACGTTGTCTTTCAAGCACATGGTATGGCGGGCCTGTGCAAACTTCAAGCCCATGAGTCGGCTTTCGTTTGAGGGGGCGCGTAAGGAAGTTGTTAAGTACCATACTTATATGGACATGTATAAGATCCAACATAACCTTCTTCCAACAACTCGAGTTATTAGGATCAATTGGTTATTGACGTTAACTACGTACATGAAATTTATATACTAGAGTTAACGCGATTCCTTTGGCATATATGAACTCACCGTAAACGGGCTGCTTGTGGCCGAGGTATCCAGGACTAGGAGTCGCATTGTGAGGGCTGTTGGTGGAGCTATCCGAGGCAGAAGAGGCGGGTAAGACGATGAGGATGATGATGATGATGACGAGCACAGACGTGGAGACATGTTTATTGGGATTGTTTCTCTTGGAAATAGCCGCCATATCCATCCTTCGGTTTTGCTTATAAAGGTGGAGAGGAGTTAATTGTCAGCGTAGAACTGATCAAAAGCTCAAGAGATGGATGGCTTACTTTATGGATGCAATGATTATGCTGGTATTTATAGATGGTTGATTGGTGGGGTAAAAAAAAAATGTAGAGGTTTATGTTTCTGCCCTTTTGAGTGACGGAAGAGGGGAGAAGATGCTCAATGTAATCTACAGATTAGTCAGTCATATCGCTCGCGATCTCAATCATTTAGATGTTAATTTTGACGATTAATAATTAATGGCATCGGTTACATACACGTAATGTGGTTACGGAAAAGTCAGAATATGTTGACCCGACCCACCAGTATGTATGCTAGCGAAATTCCTTAATCAAAGGGAGAAATTTAGAAGAGATCCAAACATGTATGGAAGGTGATAGGAAATTGACAAATTCGTTGTGACATGAAAATTTGACATGAGGATTAGAAAGCAAGCCTAATTTAGTCGAGTATGACAATATTCATGATAATTCAAATTAAATTATATCTACCCAATAAATAAAAGTCAAATGAGAAAACTTAAAGTCCCATTTCAAATTTCCTGCATCCAGAGTGAAAATAGGAAGGACATTTTGGTCTTCACAATTACTTTTTTTTATTCATTAAAAAGACACTTATTAGGATTCGAACCATGACCACTTAAAAAAAAACAAAGATCATAACCAATCACACTAACTACATTTGTTGTATCTTTTTAAATTAAAAACATATAATCACAGAGAGGAAAAAACTCTTCCCCCATTTCAAATTCCATGCTCCAGGAGCGTTTGTAGGAAGGGTAGAATAGCAAAGTTTCAATTTTTTTTCTTTTTCCTCTGTGGAATGGGCCAACTTACCGTACACATGCGGATTTAAACGGGTCTAGGAGTGTCAATTTTTTTTCTTTAAGTCCTTTTATTTCTCCGTGGTGGTAAAATATATATGAAAATGCCAAAAAAATACTCTTTTTTATTTCTAAAAAGAAAAAAAATTAACATTAAATTAATGCATGGATTCTAATGGGCTAACCGCTAATCATAAAATAAAAGAGTTGAATGGGTTTGACCTACACGGGATTTGCCTATCAAGTAAAACAAATGAACATCATGGGTTTGCCATTCTAAAACAAACTATTTTCTCTAGCATAATATATATTATGCTATTATTTTATATCTTAGTGGCTAAAATATAATGTATTTTAAAGTTATTCAATGGTTCAACCTCGACCAACCCAATTATTCCAATTTTTATCATTTGAAATTATAGTGTATATTATAGGGAATCGTTTGGTATTTGTTAGTAAGTGTATATTATAGGGAATCGTTTGGTATTTGTTAGTAAAAAACTAAACAGAAAGATCTATTTGCTTGTTTTTAACATTAAAACAATCCTAAACATTTTGAGTTTCCTTTCGAAATTCTATAGTTTTATTCCCGAATCAGTGATGTGCAAATGGCGAATTGCAGTCATCTCTTTTCTTTCATTATTTTTTATTTTCAAATAGAAAGTTTAAAAGTAAAGAATAATTAGAGTTTGGCATGAGTCGGTCAAACAGGCTGAATTTCAAGTTTTGGCCCGTTTTGATCAAGTCTAATTTATAATCACATCTCTTTTCTTTCATCATTGTCCTATCCCAAATCGTGTTGTTCATTCTTGATTTCTTTAGATTTTATCATGGCTTGGCAAAAAACTAGAAAGCACAATGATGACAAGATGAAAGTTTTATAAAGCAAATTAATCGGCCAACGGGCCGAGTAAAAGCTACCAACGATTGTGAGATGCTCATTTCCCGAAAACTGGCGGGATAGACGATTTTTTATTCGATTTTCTGGAATTCAGTTTCTATAAAACTTATTCCACCTCATCATATTACCAGAAACAATATTGTTTCACAAGTTAACATGTACTTGATTTTGGATTTTGATTCGTTGCATCATTCATGTCTCTTTCCTACTAAAATTCACTATTTTTATCACGTGTTTCTAAAAAAAAAAAAACTATACAACAATAAGTTATACACCCAATTACATTATCAAATTTCATACCACACCTTTCTACGACCAAATGGCCGGGGCCACGCTAGTATGTAGTTGTACGTGTATCCCACACACAAATAGTGTATGAATCAATATGGGCACACGAGTGTAGTCATGGCGTTAAAGAGATGCATCCCATCTGGGGATGGATAATGGATAGTAGAGAAATGAAGAAGAGGTTGCACGTGTGGCGAGGAAGGGAGGGATACACCGCGTCGGCCCTTCCACAGTCCCATCGGGAAATAATTGGATTCACGTCTTCTCATCAATTTGTGTATATATGAGCGGTTCCTGTCAATATTTTAGTCAAGCTAACAAGCTAAGATTAGTGATAACCATTTGTCCTAATCACTTCTTTGTAAACCATTCATTTACACGGTGGAGAGAGTATCCTAGTTCACTAGAAATGGACCAAAGCGAGTTGGGCACCATTTTTTTTCAAGCCACTTGATATTAAATCTTGATCAAGAAAGAGATACATGAAACTGAAAGTTAGGGATGAGCAGTGGTGGGCTGAGTGTTAGGTTAAAGTTCATCGGGTGGGCTGAGTATACTCATTTATACCACTACTATGGGTGGATTTAGTGGGTCATGGTGGATGGTGAGTGAGTATGACCATTTTGGTGAGTCAAATATTTTTCAAATAATAAGATAATTATGAACCATAAAAGCTTACAATATGCTAATTGAATATTAAAGCTACAGAATTTAATAAAATTAATAACCATTCAAAAGTAAATTATAGCAAAATAACATCAATAACCTCGTGAACAAAAATATTTTTACTCATAATTATTACAGTTTTAAATAATGACTTAAAGTTATGTTGTACTTCAAACAAAATTTATAATTTTATTGAATCAATCACTACTAACTATTTTAGCGGTTACGGGACTCAAAATTAATCATGACAAGTCAACAATGTTCATTGTAGGCAGGGTCGGCCCTGAGGGTGTGCCGGTTGGCCCTCCGGCACAGGGCCTCCAAATTCTGGGGGTTTCTGGACCTCCATTATGTATATGACTAATTACTATTGCAGATTATTATATTTCGATTATAAATTTAAATGATAGAAAATTTATGAATTGAGTTTTGATTATGGGTCTAAAAAAATATAAAAAATTTAAGTCCAAAGGTTAAAGAAACCAACGAATCACATGAGGCAAATATTTTTTTCTTATTAATTTTTTTTTTCAAACCACATAACATAATTTATTCTTTGTTATGTGTTTCCTAAATAGAACAAAAGAGGTAACTGATAATGCCTCATTATTATCATTATTAAGTTTATTGCTTTAAATTTCTTCATTTTTCAATTTTCCACGGGACAAATTAAAGAATTCAATTTCATCAATTAATCTGCTTGTACTACCAAGTTAGTAATATTAAACTAATTAAATAATTTACATTGATTTATTAAACGCTAACCAAAATAGTTAGGTACAAGTTACCAATAGTATAAAGGAAAAAATAACTAAATCAATTATCAATAGTTTGACATTATGTGATATGACTAATTCTTGTGTAAAGCTACAGATTTTTTTAAATTATTCCACATACTTATACAATTTTTTTTAATTTAATATTTTTGAAACTCGTCGATTGTTTTCCTAATACAAGCATATTTTACAGAATCTTATTAACTATTCCTGTGATTGTTGCTACGGCATGAAGAAGCTTTTCAAAATTGAAGTTTGTTGAAGTTTTATATGCTCTCTACAATGACATAAGAGAGGCTTAACGGGTTAGCTATGTTAGCAATTGAGAATAAGTATTTGGATGATGCAAAGATAGAAGAGCTAATATAGGATTTTATTTCAAATAATATTAAACAATTGTTACTTTTGAAAGAATGATAGATGATTTTATTCCTTTTGTAATAACTTTATGAACTTATGTTTTTTTTATTTATTTCTATTTTTAATAAATTTACGTGGAAAATTTTTAGGGCAACATTATAATTTTTTGAACAGGGCCTCCGAATATCATTTGTCGGCCCTGATTGTAGGTGATGTTCCCGAACCCAATTTCTTTGCTGCAATCTTTGGTTGTAGATGGAGTAGCCAGCCCTCTAAGTATCTTGGTCTTCCGTTGGGTGATTGCCCTAATGCTGTTTCGATTTGGAAACCAGTGATGAGACCGCCTGCAGGGGTGGAAAAGCAGGCTCCTTTATTTTGGAGCTTGCCTGACCCTGAACTGCGCCACTCTCAACAATTATGTCCTGGGTAAATGGCCATGGAAGTATGCCTCTGAAAGAAACAGTTGGTGGAGGCAGCTCATCAACATGAAGTTTCCTAATCCAACCTCCGAGTGGAAAATGAAGAAGATGGAAGAAGGGTTTAATAGCTCCGTTTGGGCTAATATATGTAAGGTCAACGAGTGGTTTTGGAAAGGGGCGAGTGTGGATCCTGATCCGGGTACTGCGATCTCTCTGTGGCACGATAACTAGATTCCTGGGAAGTCACTGGCAGAGTCCTTTCCGCGTGGTGCTGCTGCTGCTACCTTCCCAAATGCTAGCATCCTTGATGCCGAGTCCTCCTCAGGCGAGACGATGTTCTGGGAAATTCCTTTCTCCTTTAATTTGCGGGGTGGGGCTGAATTGAGAGAGTTACTTTCCTTGAAGAGATTAATTCTAATTCCTTTAGAATTAAAAATAGTCATTGCTGGATGTTGTGGAATCTGGATACGGTCTTTTTTGGTTAGTTCCTTTTACAGGCGGCAGGTTGAAGAGCGGTTTCCTGGGGTGGCAATTTTTCAGTATACTTTGATCTGGAAGAGTATCATCCCTACGATAATATGTGGCTTCATTTGGCTAGTTTGGCATAAGAGAATTCTCACTCTTGGCAATCTGAAGAGACAAGGCTTGAAGCTGACAACCGGTGTGCCTTGTGTTAACAAGAAGAAGAATCTATTAATCACCTCATGGTTGACTATAGTTTTACCAGACACGTGTGGCGTTAGGTTTTCAACAACAATATGCTTTCGGATCTGTCTTCTGGCGATATCTCCATTATCATTAACTGCAATAAGCTTAACAACTTGGATGGAGTCTATGCTTGATTTTTATATTGC